CATTCAGTCGAGGGTTAAGCGAGTCTGCCTCGACGAGCGTTACTAGTTTAATAATATTGGTAAGATATTGAGATAATATTTTATTTCGATAGAAGAATTTAGTGTTTTAAGAAGAATTGGTATTGGTTTAGGTATCGGTGGTGGTGTGATTAATTGTATGCTTTATAATGGTAAATATGAAAAGATTAAAAAAAACTTGTTTTCTTTAAATATAAATATATTCTAGTTGATGATGGTCATCGAGATGTTATTTTTGATCATTTTCAAAGTGTTAAACTAGATGTTATTGAAGAAGGAACTCATTTTATGATTTCATGGCTTCATAGACCAATTATATTTGATATTCGTACACGACCACGATCTGTTCCATCAATAACAGAATTAAAAGATATAAAAGCTAGAAGAGAACAGTCAACTTCAGGAGAGAGGTGAACATGAGGAAAATGTAAGCTCGCGAAAAAAGGAAGGTAAATACGATGTCTATTAAAACATCAATGAATGTATATGGCTGAGGTATCTTAAAAAATTTTGCGGTCATTGATGGCGACTCAACTGATCGGTTTACACCTCTACACTCTCATCATTCACCAATCTTAGGATACTTCATAAAACTTAAAACCGGAAGTCTCCGTTATTTTTTCTTCGTATACATGAAATATGCATAAATTACATTTTATTATTTTTATTTTAGATTTACAAACAATTAATATAACATTATGTATTCTTTATCCACCAAGAGCCGAACTTTTACCAAAACATTTTTTGCAAATTTGGGTTTAGATTATGAAGAACGTGTTTTATCATCGATTATTAATGAAGTTTTAACATCTGTTGTACTAAGTCTCAATTTGATGCTATTGAATTGATTACACAACGTACACTTATTTCTCAAAGTATTAGTGAATTATTAATAGAACGTGCTGCTCAATTTGGTTTATTACTTGATGATATTTCAATTGTAAGATACAACAAAAAAGAGTCTCGAGTTGATTATATTGTTTTTTTTCTTTAAATTAGACACATTTAAGTTTTAGACCTGAATTTACAAATGCTGTTGAATTAAAACAAGTTGCACAACAAGATGTTGAAAAACAACGATTTTTAGTCGAAAAAGTAAATCAATAAGAATAAAATTTATATGAGTTTGCTTTTTTTTATCAAGAAAAACAGACTGAACAAAGCCGTCAAGCAAATGTTATTGTAGTAGAAGGTGATGCTCGTACAGCTGATTTAATTGGCAAAGCTTTAGATGAAGTTGGTGATGGTAAATTTTCGAATATCTTTTATTATCCTGTCTTACTTTATTTTAATATTCATATTAGGTTTGATCGAACTTCGACGAATTGAAGCCGCTGAAGGTATTGCAAATCAATTATCAAAATCAAGAAATATCGTCTATTTATCACATGGTCCTCAAATGTAACTTAACATTACTGGCGGTATGCAATAAAAATATTGTTTTTTTTGTTTTCATAGTAAACTAACAAGATTGATTTAGGAAAATAAAAAGAACATATAAGAGTTTTTTTTGTATGTGTGTGTTTATAAACTATTGAGAATACTAAAGCATTGTATTGTCCTGTTTTTTGTTCGATTAAAGAAAAAGAAGATGAAATTAACAATTCTCTGGATGATATTAAAGATTCGAGTACGATTGAAATGATGAATTTCGATAATCTCTTTCGATGTTTTATATTAACTCAATCATTTGTACGTGGTTGGGGAAATACGTTTCATTTACAAGAAATTTTTACCTATCGACGTGAAAAAATTGATGTAAGAGATGAGTGTTTAGAAATTGTACTAGCTGAAAATGTACAGGAAAGTACTGTTGAAATAATTAAACAAGAAACAAAAAGGTAATCAAAATTAT